TTATATATTATTATATATTATTATATATTATTATATATTATTATATATTATTATATATTATTATATATTATTATATATTATTATATAATTATATATATATATATATATATATATATATCTTTTATTGTTAAATTTATTAACCCTTTTTTCATTGTTAAAGGCTGCAATCGAATGTTATCTTTGTGATTCATACAGTTCGATCGATGCTTTATTAGAAATATTTTCTTATGGAGATATTGATCCATCAGATTATCATTCAGATGATTCGGAAAGTGATGATGATGAGGACTCGCATTTTGCCGCTAATCGTGCTGATGATTACTTGCTATGGCAACGTACTCCATATTTAGATGAGTTTCGTCAAAAGAAAAAAGCTAGGATGGAAGAGGTTTGTATAGAATTTAATTCAATTTTAATAATTTTGATATTTCAATCTTGATGTTTCAATCTTGATATTTCAATTTTGATATTTCAATTTTGATATTTCGATTTTGATATTTCGATTTTGATATTTCAATTTTGATATTTCAATTTTGACGTTTCAATTTTGTTATTTCAAATTTGGTAAATTCAAATTTGATAATTCAACTTTGATAATTCAACTTTGATAATTCAATTTTGATGTTTCAACTTTGATAATTCAACTTTGATAATTCAATTTTGATAATTCAATTTTGATAATTCATATTATAATTCTGATAATTCATATTATAATTCAATATTATAATTCAATTTTTATAATATAATTTTATTAATCTCTCTCTTTGGATTTATATATTTATAGTTCCTAAATGTCAAAGGAAAACTCGAACAACATTTTGAAAATTTAGCTCAAAAATATCCAATTCGTGATCTAGAAATTGAAATGTATAAATATTGTAATAAAGTTAGTAGTACTTATATGAAGGTTCCAGAGTTAATAAGCGTACATAGATCTTCTACTACAAATAACGATTTCCCCCTAGAGCTATTCCATATTCCTGGAATATATAATGGTGGAATTAATATACCAGTGAGTGATGATGATTTAGATGATAATACGGTTGATCAAATTCCGGTTTCTCGAAGTGAAGTTGTCGATCAAAATATCGATGTTAATTTTGATATTGAAACTCAAAGAAAACGTCGTGTCTTAGAGGAGAATGATGGTAAACAGCTCAAGAAAAGAAAAAATTTAACCTCTTAAGATATATTTTTTGCATTATCTGACGTTAAATTTTGGATCCGTCCGTCATCGTAACATAGTACCTCCCCCTTTTTTTTTTGCCTGAACTGGTTTCAGATTATTTCATATTCTTTTGAATTCAGTAGACTTATTTCCATTCAAATTATTATCTACATATCCTAAAAACTTTTTAAAACTTATATAGATATCTGAACGAATCTAATTAGCTTTTTTTGAAATAGATTTAAAGTCTACGCGTGTTAATATATTTTTTTTCAAATGTTGGACATTAGGGATCGTTAACAAAGTCTAGAACAAAAAAAAACAATTCATTTTGTCGTACTTTTTTTCTTTTTTTTTTTTTTTTTTTTTTTTCCAAGATTTTTTTTTTTGAGTTTCTCATTACAATGAAAACAAAATGAAAGAACATTTTTAATAAACTAATGGTTTGATAGATACTTTTTTTTTTAATCGTTCGTTTTAATTATTCGTTTAAACGTACGTGATTTGAAAAAAGAAACTTATTAGTAGAGCTGATATAAAAACGGATCATGCATAATGGTTGATTAGTTGACAAGTCGGATGATTAAACACTCTCATCTGACAAATTACGATTGCAAATGAACATAATCGACATAACTCTGGCGAACTTATTCTAATGGTTGAGATATGAGTTAATCACGTTGCGTCATTAATTTTTAATAGCACTCAAGAAATCTGTGCCAGGTTTTGTCGTAGGATTGGACCCAGGTAAAAATTGCTGTTATATGGTTACCCAGGTAAAAATTGCTGTTACATGGGTTACCCAAGATATAGTAAATTACCCAGGCTATCCCTCTCCCCGGCTTCACTTATTTGTACTGACCCAAAAAAGAAATTTTAATTAATAAACTAAATAGATTATCGTAATTACATTTTTAATTAGTGCACCAAAAGTCGATTTATCCATTAGAGTATTTTATGCTTTCTTTTTTGTTTTCTTCTTTTACACTGTTCAGATTCTAGTCAAGCCTAGGGCTGTTAATCGATCCATCCAGTCTTGTCTGGTCCAAAGGCCTGCACGGGCATGATAAAATAATTTTTTTTGCCAGCTTGCATGGTACGCTTGCCCGCAATTTTACACGAATCTCTATTTTTTCCTATACTATGTTTTTAAAAAATTTTCAATTTCGGCCCGGCCCGTACAGGCCTCTAAAAGGAATAGATTAGTGTATTCAAAATTCAGTAGATTGACTAAAATTTTAAGTCGGAATGGGTTAGCATTGCCCAAAATCACCACAAACTTTGCTAATAAATTTATAGCCTACTTACTAAGTAAAAGTTATCTATAGAAAATATTTTTGTTATAGTATGATTAATTAGCATCATTGCTTAATATATACTTACTAGGGTTCCGCATGAGCTGGACTATTCATGGGTGCTTCATGGATTGGTCTCATATAAGCTGGGCTTGGATACTAATCTGGATTTTTTGTTGGATCTGAATTTAAAAATCCAGATCCATTTAAATTTGGATCGAGCTCAAAATATTCGAATTCAGATCCAAATCCAATGGATAGACCATATTTTTTATGATATCAAATTATGATTTAAATAATTTAATAACGATAATTAAGAGATTTAAAAAATCTAGTGATATATTTAAATTTTCAAAAGCTTTTATCTATACTTAATTACATAAAATCGATTATATATATCTGATATACAAATAACTTACATCATTCTAATTGTATTTAAAATAAAGGTTGTATTAGTAAATATTAATAATATATAAAAGTAATAATAAAACACTTTATTTATTTTTTAAATAAAAAAAAATTTAATAGAAATTGATAATAGTAGTTCAATTGCACTAAATAACTCTATATCAAATCAAGAAACATCTACTAGTAATAAAGTTTATATTAATAAAAAAAAGCTTATATTGGCAATTTGGAATGATTTTGTTTTAATAGCTAGTAAAAATAAAGCACAATATATTCATTGTAATAGAGAGTTTTTACAAAAAAAATCATTAGGTACTACATATTTACATCATCATCTCAAGACTTGTAATAAATATAAAATAGTTACTAGATTACTAACTTCTACAAGTATTCAATATAATACAGAAAATAAAATACAAATATTTAATTAAACTAGCAATTAGGTTTTTTCTAAAGAAAGAAGTAAAAATAATTTGGTTAATATAATTATTAAAGATAAATTAAGCTTTCAATTCATAAAACATATTAGATTTTTAACTTTTGTTTTAGATTATGATCTGATTTTAATATTATAGCTAATTTAGACTATACTCTAAAATTTAAGGGTATTGACTTATCTGTTAGGATAGGATTATAATATTATAATTTGATATATTATATACAAATGATCTAAATTATTAATAAAAAAAAGTAATTAGTTAGAGGGTGGGATAATCAGTTAAACATTAGTTCTCTTATATGATTTTTTATTTTCAGAGTACTTTATAATAATATATATATCAATTGATCATTTAATATCTAACAAAGAATTATAATTTCAAGAGGTAGTCAATAAAATTTGATTAAATTTTACAGTTTTAGTGATTAAAAAAAATGTTCAAAAAACTAAATTAGCTATAATGAAGTTTGTTATGTTAATACTATTAAATAAGATATATTAAAATTATATTATAATTAAAAAAATTATATTAAAAATATTTTTCAAAATATTTCTAGTAGATTATTATTAACAACAGATATCTAGACATTTTAGTAGCAACTTAGTTATAGTTTTATTACTATATATTTTATAAAAATTTAACTTTAAATAACTAGCAGTGATCATTACCACTATATAATTAGCTAATAATAATAAAACAATAAAAAATTTTATTTTATTTACTTTAGAGTTAAGTCAAGATCTAGAATTTTAACAAGATATTATCTATATATACAAATTTTAGCAAGGAATTTTTTTTGTTAGAACATCAAAGGTAGCTTCATAAGCAAATTCTTAAGAAATTGATATGTTTTTTAAAAAATAATTTGTATATTATATCTAATCTTAGAAATTTATTAGCTAATTATATACTAGTGATGATCACTACTAAATATAGTTAGAAATATTTATTTATAAATAATAATTAGAAACTTTTTTTTTTTTTTTTATTAAGGTAGCTTTCTTTGCTAATTAGATTTTATTTATTTTTTTTCCTACAAAAGGATCTTGTTCTTCATTTTATTATCATTTAATACTGATTACAATATAAACATATAAAGCTAAACTATATATATAAATACGAAAGCTAAACTAAATATGCAGAAGACTTTATCCTTATATCATAATATAAGTAACTATTACTAATATAAATAAGCTCAACTAAATATACCTAGTGAATAATTATTACAATTCCAGACTTACTCAGATACCTATATAGCCCTAAGTACGATCGACTCATTAACAAGTTTAATCTTGAAAAGCTCTATGCTTAATATATAAAACAATTTAATTCCTCGATAGTTCACTAATAGCCTAGTCAAGAACCTCTTAGTTACCTCCTACCCTATGCCAAACTGATCCAAGGTGAGTAGACCACAAAGAGAGAAAATAAAAATTATGTATATAACAAAAGACACAAGGTCATATGTTATATAATATAGTTGAATAAAGGAAACCTGCTAACAGGTAAAAACCTTTAAATAACAAAAACAGAAATAAAAAGAAACTAATATTCCTCCTAGAACGGTATAAAAATTGTGTATATATAACACTTAAGTTATTCTTTAAATTCTTAAGGGAGCAAAGTACTATATTACAAAGAAAATATCAACAACTCAGATTTCCTATAACATGTATTTGGCCAAACACATGTTTGTTGTTTGTTTATGGTATAGGAAACAACAGGCTAATACCCAATTGTTTTTGTTAATGCGTATTGTAGATCATTTGAAAGGGGTAAGTCAAATTCCCTAAAAAACACTAATGAGTTAGAGAAAAAATTCAAAAGATGATATTGAAAGAAGCTACTTCTAGGAAAGAAAGATTTTGCTATTTATTTTCTTACTAAAAATAGTATAAATACTTATTGTACTAGCTATCCTTATGCTAGCAAACTACTAGTGAGTGTTACTTAAAACAACAGAGGTATTTGACAATTTTTCTTGTAATTTACTATTTTTCTATAGTGTCTAGAAGTTATATCTAGATAATGCAACTAAAAAGAACTCATACAAGGGAGTTATTCACTCACAATACATCATAGAAAGCTTAAGAAGAAAAATATTGTTGTCTGTTATAGCAGAAAAAATTTTTTACAGGTCAGATTATTGTGAAAAAAAGTGGTCAAAGGATCAACAGGAAGAGTTATAGCTAATTAGATTTTATTAATTTGTTATTATAAAGTTACTATAGTAGTAATCTCTTAGAGTTTTACAGTTATATGATGAGTATATAACAAGCTACATATTCAACTTTAGTTATTATCTAATTTAAGTAGTTTGCTATACAGATGATTAATCATCTGTTGGTTCTATACTATGCTACTATATCTGCAACTTGCCTGTGAATTATCTATTTAAATACTTTGATCATTAGCTTTTCCTCTTATCCTAAACTAATATTACTACTATAACAGACTACTTAAGCTAGCTAACTTGCATATAAATTTAATTACTATATAACTTAGATTCTCTCAGAATGTGTATTGTCTAACATATTATGAGCACACAAAGCTCTAATTAACTTTGAAAGCATATCTACTAGAGTAGTCTGTGCTTATTTTATAGATTTGTCTAACTTAGACTCTTGTAATATTTATATAATTCTAGTTCTTACTATAGCTCTTCATTAGTATGTATTGTCAGATTTCTCTAGATATTTTATGAGATAGATCTTTCCAAATTCAGTTAGTTACTAAGCTAAATTAGTATTACTAATCTTTATCATAGAATGAATTTACTCATACCTATTCTGATCTATATCCTTTAAAAGAATTTCTTTTTGAATCAAGTGTTAGCTAGTATGACTATCAAAAGTTGTACTACTTCAGCAACTCAGAGTTTTTACTATACAGATCCTCTGCTCATATATCTAATATAGATTTATTTGTATAACATTACTATCTTACTTCTAATATCTAATTAACTTAAGCTATTGGTAAGAAGAAATATAAAATGATTAATTTTACTACAAATTTTTGTCACAACTCTTCCTATCGATCCTCTGATCACTTTTTTCTGAAAAGAAAACCTGACCTGCGAAAATACTTTCTTATTATACTGATAACAATATTCTTTCCTAAATGTTCTACGACGTATTGTGGGTGGATACCTTCTTTACAAGCTCTTTTTAGCTGCATTATCTAGAAGTAATTCTTGAGTACTATCGAAAAAGTAGTATGGTACATGTAGTCTAGAACCAGAGTCACGTGATTTTTGAATATATATCTTTTAAAATTATTTATAATTTATAAAAATATTTATATATTAAAAAAATCTCTCTGTAAATTGATACTATAAAACTAATAAAACAATATTACAAAGAGATTTTTTACTTAAGCATACTAGTTTCAAATTTATTCATAGTTAAATTCAAAGCACTTTTATATTAATACCAGAATTTGGCCACTATGTTTAACAATAATTTGCCAAATATATATACATACATATGTATATGTTATAGTGAACTGCATCTCTAATCATATCATATTAAAGCTGTGTTCTATGTGTATATATTTTAAATTCATAATTACTAATATTTTAGTGCTATAGAATGAACCTAGAAGTGAATATTTAAATTTTTATCATAGCGAACTTAGCCTCTGAAGAATTATATTAGCTATAGCAAAATTGCATCATAAAATACTATGTTATCGAAGCAATTCTTCATGGTCCAAGTCCACTACGTTGAAAACTTAAATATTCACTTTCAGGTTTTCATTCTGTAGCACTCATTTTGAATATTAATAATTTCGCTGGTATACACAGAATTAGAACATTCTTAAAATAAATAATAATTTCTTGACTATTTTATCACTTCTAAGAATCATTTTTTAATCTCAATTAAATAATCAAAATCTTTTATACTTTCATAGTCTACTAATATCAATGTAATTCTGTTGCAAAAGTTTATATTTTAAGTTAATTCATAATTTACATTTATGCAATTGTTCAACTTTATATATTTATTTGTAAATTATTTTTGTTCAAATAATTATAATGTTAGAACTAGACAAGATAATTACATTAAAATACTTGAAGAAATTAGATATGCATTGTATCGATTAGTGATGCTGACTAAACATTTTAACATCACTATGTTTTGGGTTTTATCACGTGATAAAACTAATTTTAACATATATCGTAGTTAAAATTGTTAAAATAAAAAAGATATAACTAGATATAACTGTAAATAAAAATATTAAGATTAAACTATCGCTATGATCAAATTACAAAATGTCAAACTAATGTATTATCTGTTATACATGTAAATTAGAACATTAAAACAATTAACAATTCTTTACTTATTTCAATAGGGATAACTTTTTCTATAAATAAGTGAGTATTTAAAAGATCCTATTTTCTTTTTTCAGAATTCCGAATTAGAAAATTATATAGACGTAACTGGTGACAAAATTAGCTTTTTTTTTTTTTTTTTTTTTTTTTTGATAAACATTCACTGGTAAGCGATTATGCAAATAAGTACTTTAAAAAACTAGAATTTTGTACTTCGCTTCTTTTGAAATAAATATAACACTTATTTTATTTAAATCGTACGTCGAATCATTAATTCTGAAACCCCAATATGTCGAATAATAATTTGAGTGATACTAACAATCTTCAACTAATAAATCTAATTGATGATAAAAATTAAAAAAATACTATTCTGTCCGATGCAAAGCATTGGCAAAGAGAAATACCGTAATGAAATCACATTTGACAAATGAATGTTCAAATTGTCCAGAAGATATACAAAAATACTGGCAAATTCATAATCGAAATAATAATTCAGTTTTTTATTCTATGCTCAAATAAATTTTCAGTTATATATCATTGTTCTATCGCAAGATATAACATTTATTAGTTTATATTTTGATGGTTTTCACAGTTTTAAATCTAAGCTTCGAAAATATAAATAGTATTAACCTATCATGTGGATAGTTTATATTTTTATCAAGTTTTATCATGAGTATAGTCGGTATCACTAGTATCGATATAATTTTTTTTTATTAGAAATCAATTTATTTCAATTTATTGAATTTTAGACCCAAATAATTAATACATGAAGTAAAAATTAATATGCTACGTATTACAATTCAATATTTTTAGGAATCCTTCGATGTGATTTATATTTCTTTACTGCAAATTCAGCAGCAGAGGGAGTTAATCCTTTTCTATAGGCGTCCATGTATCTCCACACTTTTCTTGCAAACTTTCTAATTGTTATAATATTCACGGAATCAAGAGCCTCTGGTACAGTTTTTCTTAATCCTTGAAAGGTATAATCGTAGTGGCTTCTTGCGTATCTCTTTACTGCACCCCAGTAATATTCAATATAGTTCAATTCCAGATGAAACTTTGGATAAAAAAAATTTTGTGACCTCGATTAAGCACAATTTCCTTAAGGACATTCTTTTGTTCCATGAAATCTGGCTGTCTAGCCAATTTCCTCATATTGCAACATGTTATTTCTTCATTCTCTGCATATTTAATATATTTTCCTCTTAATTGTTTATTCCATATTCCTCGTTCTGTCATTACTTCTTTAATTCCTTTTGGCTGACCCCTTTTTTTTCATCTGAATGATTTAATGGAAAAACTATCTCTTGAGGCGTACCATCAAAAAATTGACCAGGGCGCATTTTAGGTTGTTTACCACCATAACCAACATTCATTCTGCTTACTATTAATGCATCCTCTGCAAAAGCTCCATGGCTGGAACTGTTGTCAAATCCAAAAACAAATATCATATCTGGAAGCGCAATTTCCAAAATATCAATTGCACGTTCAAGTTGCTTAGCTAGCATTTGAACGTTCCAATAACCTTCATAGTTTACTCCAATTTCTAGCAATTCGGTAACATACTGGTTTGGAATTTTCAGATGAGCTGCAAATTGTTCTGCAGTTAAATGAACTCGACCTAACGGTTCACACAGAAATTCACTAATATGAATACATCTGCCCCATCCTTTTAGGCGTAATTTATGTTCACCTATTAATAATTTAAACAAATTAAATTAGCTTGCAATAAAAAGTAATATATTAAATTGCATAAACAAACCTTTGGGTCCCCATCCTGTTTTCTTATCATCATTCGCAGCTAATGTCGTTTCATCATGTGTTACTACACAATGGTTTTTTTTTTCAGAAAGAATATTCTTCTCGACTAGTTTAGTAAGGTCTTTATCGTCATACTCAAGAAGAACAGGCTCTAATTCTTTCATCATAGGCAAAAAAATTGTTTGTCTATAGTGCACCACATCCTTACATTCATGTCCGTCTACATATATATCTTTTCTCCATTCCTTACAATGCTATCCCAGTTTTTGAAGCCATTGCCATGCTGTTTTCTCACATATTGTTATCTTTGTTTCAATGCCTAAGGATAGAAATACCTCATTCTCTACGTATTCTTTTAGAATCCTAGGATTTACACTAAATTTGTGACTTCTTAGATATGACATTATCTATTCAAAATATAATAATTGTGAATTAAAGAAATATGTATCCATAATTTTTAGAAAGAAATACATACTTTCATGGATATTCTCTCATCATCAAGTAGGCTTGATACTTTCGTAAATCTACTACGATTATCTTTCAGAAGTTTTCGCCACTTTACCCAATTTTGAACTCATGCACCAATACATCATGCTTTATATTCTCTCTATTCTAATGAACTAGCAATTGTAGTGCTTGCATGTATTCTAGTCTGACCCTGGTATTTTAATCACAAGTACTGCAATGATGCCTGCAAACGAACCTTTACCCCTTTATCTATATGATTGTTTTCATTTTTTAACATCCTATCTAACTCCTCAATCGCCTGCCACATTTTTGTTTTCTCATCAATATCCATTTCTGCTGACACACCTGCTGTTGATTCCACCTCCATTAATTCCAATTCTAATAATTCTATCTCCACTAACTTTGTCTCTGTTGATTCCATCTCCATTGATTCTACCTCCATTGATTCCGCCTCCATTTTTGTTGATTTCACTTCCATTAATGCATATGACTCTGTTGATGATTCGCAAGTAGAAGTTAAAGCTGAAGTAATGTGAGAATTTTGAGAACATGTTAAGGCAGAAGCTAAATAGGTAGTAATAGATCGAGTATTTTGTGCAGCTTTTTTTAGCTCTGCTTTTTTGCGTCTTTGAGTCCTTTTCGATCCTCCAATGTAAATTGAAGGTCTACTAAAGGTTTCCAGACATTTTTATTTTTACTAGCCGTTTGTAAAACAGCAAAGTAATCAGAAGCCTTCTCATTAATATCTTTATCTGACCAAACATGATCATCTAGATTTTCATAATCTGAAACATCATTTTGTTCATAAAATTTATGCGATTCCTTTATTATGTTGAATGCACGCTTCCTAGCTCTTGCAGCTTTAAGTTGCTGCTTTCTTTTGTTTGGGCGGGTAATGGTGATGATTATTAAATGAGTGAATTGGAATAAAATTCTAATAGTCACAATCAAGATTTTGTGACCAGGATTGAATTGGTTTGAGATATAGTTTTTTTTAATTAAAGTCCAAACGTCCTTTTTTAATTTTCCTTTAAATTTTTTATTTTATTTTTTATTTTTATTTTTATTTTTTTTTATTTTTATTTTTTTTTATGTTTATTTTTATTTTATTATTTTTTTTTCAATTTTTTTAATCGTTTATTTATTGAAGATAAATTTGCCCAATAATGATATATTTAAAGGAATGTGTTTGCAAAGTTCGTCTGTACAATTTAAGGAATGTAAGCGTTTGCAAAAGTTCGTCCGTATAATGCACCCTTTGTTTTATATGTTGACTTCTTCGTTACTCTCAACTCCCTTTTAACTTCGTCACGCTTCAACTTTTGTTTCTCAACTACAAAATTCTTAGACGTTATCTGTTACTTGAAACTAATCGTATCGATTTCACATGTTAATTTATGATTTATGTTACATTACGCCACCATTACATTAAATAGAACAGAAACATTACACAATCGATCGTTATATCGATATGTCGATATGTATGTGTTAACTTCGGAAATTTTAGGAAATGCATGCTCGTCTTTTGTGTTCGATAACTTTCTACTCGGAAATATTCGGGGTTTAGACACAATTCGCAATTACATTTATCTATTATTATCATCGTCTAAATTGGCCACTTTGATCACATGACTCCGGTTCTAGGCTACATGCACCATACGATATTTTTAGTGAGCGTTAATCATTTTTTACCGTTATCATCATGTGATAGTAATAAGTAATGAAATTTTAAAAATTTTTGGGGTACATATTTTTAGGATTTTTTTAGAGTTAGGGTTAGGATTTAGGGTTAGGGTTGTTAATAAAAGAGTAGAAGTGGGTTTTATAGGCTTTAAAGTGGACTCAGGAAGACCCCAAATTTCATTTTAATTATGATACGCCACAATTATTACTTAACGTTAATAAATTCCTTTGCCCATCCCTACAGTCATTTCACCGACAATAAATCTGTAGCCAACACTGGTTATAAATCTGGTCCATAATTACTGTCGGTGATACACACAAGATTTATAATTTATGCAACATTTTAGTAAAATATATTGTGGTATTGCGAATGGATTGACTAATTTCGCAAGATGCTAAAAAATTTAATTGTGATCTATTAAAAAAAATTTGGTTCTTTATAAATTATTGTGGCAGCTTATGCTGAGGATTTGATTTATTTTATGAAATTTTAAAAAAATTTTTTGTACCTTTTTTTTAATGTTTAAATTAGACTTTAGGGTTAGGATTATTGTATATGTGGATTTTAGCATTGTACATTTTAATATTATTTTAATAGAGATTAGCATAAGCTGCCACAATTATTGAATGTAGTATCACCTATTTTTACCGACAACCATTTGGGGTGCAGACAATAGAAACAGCCCATTTTTCACAAATTTTTGAAAAATGAGTTTTTATTAGATTCATATAAATTTTGACATGATTGACTTTTTCAATTATAAATGAAAGTTGATTTGCATAATAAAAAATTGAAATAATTGTGTAAAAGAAAATTACACGAGGCTACGTAGGGCCAAGATTACCCGATAGTCACCTGTTACCTTTAACCAATCAAACTCGTGAAATTTGATTAATCCCGGATCAGTCCGAAAATCAAACCAAATTTAAACTCAATTATCTCAAAATAAGATGTAAAAATGGGCTGTTTCTATTGTCTGCACCCCATTTCATGACCGATGTCTTTTTCAAGGAGTGTTTGTCACAATTTAGGTAAAATTCGCCGACAGCCATTTCGCCGATAACCAACACTAACTATAAATCAGGCCAAATTGGGCCAATTTTCGGCAAAATGGCTGTCATGAAATGGTTGTCGGAGAAATTAGTCAATACCGAAGAGAAGTTATAACCTCTCTTATTCATTAGTCAGTAATCTCACGAATTCATTACCTTTAGATATATTTTGAAGGGTTTAGGTAAAATTTGCCGACAATCTATCTATAACCAACACTAACTATAAATCAGGTTAACCCAATATTAGATATCCACGTGAAGTTATTTTTGTCAAATGATGACGTAATTTCGTTAATATCATGACAAAAACCATAATTGTTTAACGTTAAAGCTTAAATTACGATTTTAGCTAAAGATTTCGATTGCGATTTATTTAAATCTTTAACAAATAATAATAAATAATTTAAAACTTGTTCATCTGAATTTAATTTTCAAATGCCATAAATTTTAAACGAATTTTTTTTTTTTTTTTTTTTTTTGAGATAGCCAATTCACATATATGTTGGATTCTTTGAATTGCGTTTGATCTAAAGACATTATAGCACTTCTTTTTTTATTAATGATGATTTCCATATCTTTGTTTTGTAGGATGCAAACTAGTTTTTTTTTTTTTTATTTCGTTCATCTTTTAATTTACTGTAAAATTTTTTTTGTTTCGTTAAATATTTTCAAAATTTTAATAAAATATTACACAGAAGGTAACAATTTTACCATCAGTGATTAGTGTAGGAAATCTGTTGTTCTCAGTGTTCTCTGAGAACATTAATTTTCCAATTTTTTATTAATAAAACATATAAAAAAAAATTTGCCTGAGAACATTAAAATCAGTTTAGATTTCCAACACTGTCAGTGATGATATCAGCTTAACATTTTTTTGTGGACGATGCTAAGATTTTGATTCACTCGAATCTGATTTTAACATTTGACGTGTGTAATAATTACGTTTTTATTCTCATTATTTTTATAAAAATTTACGCGTTTATATATGTGAAATATCTATATACGGCCAATAATAAGACTGAGTTAGAGAATAGCAAAAACAAATTGATATACAAAAAAAAAAATTTAAAATCGGATTAGAAAGGCAATAAGAAACGTGTTAGATATTAGTTAATATTTTAGGTAGAAAAAAGGCATGCAAATTTTAGATATCACGATTCAGAATCAACTTAATTAATATCCTTAAATAACTCAGGTGAGAATTTAATATTTCAGAATAATAGCAAGCGAAAAACGCTCACTGGAGGTGAAAATCACCGGGGTATATTTAACGGCTAAGGTAATCGTGTTTGGAATACTAAGTAAAAGTATTCTGCACCTAAGAAAACTATAAAACTAATTTAATCCAAGCCCTAACTTAATTTCTTTTATAAATCACATACAGTATACTGGTGAATTTTACCTCCGGTTACTCTCCATATAAATTCAAAATTTTAATACATTTAATATTATGCGTGTTCCACGTACCAAATTAGAGTGTCTACATTCACCTTTTACAATTATATTTTTGTGCCAATTTTATACTGTACCTTAATTATTTTGACAAACTTAAGTTTTTTCTTATTCAATCGACCCCAGTGGCATAAGTTCATTCAAACTATAGATAATATCCAGAATTTCATTTTTATTTACAATTCCAGACGTTTGAAAAGACTTTCTTTGGAGTTACTAAGCTTGTATTATTAAAGTCATGAAATACTGCGGCTACTGTTAATATAAAAAAGGCAAATTAACCTTTTTTTAAAAATAACAACAATAATAATACCCTAACTTTCACAGCTTATATATCGATCAATTTTGAAGTCATTTTAATGATTTAAAAGTGAAAATAATCTTAAGCTTTATTTATACTTTTAAATCATTTAAAATGGCTTTAAAATTTCATCGATATATAAGCTGTGAAAGTTAGGGTATTATTATTATTGTTATTTTTAAAAAAAGGTTAATCTGCCTTTTTTATATTGACGGCAGCCCATAAGAAATTTTCCTTCAAGATTGTTAAAAACTTGATTCGAAATAAAGAGATACTCTTTAATACTTTCTTGAAAGCATTTGCAAAGCATAATAATTATTAATAAATTACGATTACTTACAATAATAAAAGTCATTCATATTATTTGCATAAAATTCCGTCACCACATAAGATTCCATTATCAAAAACTTACTGTGCCGTACAGTAAGCCATTTTAAAGATCCAAAATCAACTTAAATTGATTCCTAATCTACGATCCACCTACAATCATATATTAGAGATTGGAACTGGTTTTATTTTTTCATATGTTGAAGCAGGTTAAACCGGTTTAACATATGAAAATAAAACCGGTTCCAAACTATATTTATACATAAATATTCCTATATAGTATTTAATTAAGTAAAGGAAAGCTATTGTAATTTTTCAAAAAGGAATTATTTAGAGGCCAATATATTTTTTATTAGTTAACAAAATCTATTATTACGATAAACTATCTCATTAAGTTTAGCTATTACAGCGAATTTATGAAATACCCAAATTTTGAAAATTTTGACTACTAATGTGTAAATACTGATTTTTGCTGTGATAGTCAATATTCCCCAGGTTAAGGTGTGTCGTTGTAATAAATTTATATGTTTAATGTAAGTGGTTAGACGTCTTATTTAGATTAATTTATCAATAACCAATCTGATAACTAAAATTTAACATATGGGTGAAAATTTTTGGTTGGAATGCAAAATTAGGTGATAACAAAGTGATACTCATAAACAGCAGCTTAGCTCAAATGATCAAAATCTAGCTAATCAGTTCGGAGCACTACTCATAAATGGGATATAAAACTCATAAGTAGTGTTCTGATCGGGTCGGGTCGGGTTTTGGCCAACCCGAACCCGACTCGAAAATTTCTCAACCCGACCCGAATCTTCGGGTCGGGTTAAAGCTTGAACTGACCCGACCCGAAATCAACCCGAAAATATATGTGAATAAAAAAAATACGTATGTCTTATGTGGATATATGAAAAAAAAAAAAAAAAACGAACCGATATTATATGTAGATAATAATATATGGATAATAAAAACGAACTGAACCGATATTATATGTAGATAATAAATAATATGTGGATAATAAAAACGAACCGATATTATATCAGATATGTTAAATTTTAATTAACGCGTATGTTACACCAATATTATACTTAATGCTAGCCCGAAATTAATCTTAATACTAGCCAAAATTAATGCTGGCCAAAATTAATCTTAATGCTAGTCAAAATTAATTTAATGCTGACCTGCCTTATTATTAGTAATTTTCGGGTCAAGTTCGGGTCAATTTTTCTTGACCCGAACCCGACCCGAACTTTCGGGTTGACCCGACCCGATTGGAACACTACTCATAAGCAACTCATCACTTTTAATCTCAGTAATAATCACACTATGTTTTATATCTTATTGGCTTATATTCTATTTAATCTCATTGTTTCAATTTAAATAATCACGAAATCGCCCATATGAACTCGGTGATTAAATGCTTGAGCTTAATTTCATAAATTCGCCGTATGCATTAAACAGAAACCAAATCGTTATTTTTAGCTCTAGACTGAACATATATATGCAACCATATCATCTCTTAAATTTTTATATTAAATAGGACGTGTATACTAAGAGGTAGACTATGAATGAACATATAAAACGAGCATGGTTGTAATGTTAATTTGATAATTTCTAAAAATCTTATATCTGAGTATTTTTCTAAATGTTAAATACTAAATAAAATTTGTACAATTGCTTTTACTATGGGCCAAAGATGACTTTATAAGGTTTTCAAGTTCGAGTAGGTAAAGAGCATTCAAGTGTGATGCGTTTTTTTTTGTAAGGGAGAATTTATTTTCTTGTTAAATAAACTATTCCTCAAATTATTGCGGTTAGCGGAAGCACTAAAAAAGCTAAAATTGTTAAGATGATTCAGAAGAAAAATAAGGAAGCGAGAATTTTTCACATTCTTCCCAGCAAAAAAATAGACAAAAATAATGAGCAAGGTGATACCCATATTTGAAAATCGGGTGTATTTAATTTATTTATGTCTTTGAAAAATTATACGAAATACAACAATTAATAAGCAGAAAATTCCTGCAAATAACACGCTGGTTTCTTAGTCTTAAACTTTTGATCCCAATAATATCCTATTAAGTTCACAAATATCGCATGAGATCTCGCACCATTAGAATAATTATTTGGGATATTTATTTATTTTATCATAACTTATGTTTATTTCTTTTGATTATATACTTCTTATACAACAATAGAAAAATAAAAAGTAGTACTTGTATTCTTTATTTAATTTTGTGGTTACGACTTGGGCATACCCCCAATACTTAATATATGAATTATATTAAAATAAAGATAATATCATTCACGTTTTTCTGGGAAAAAATTATAGAACTCTGAAACATCATGGCAGCCGGAGATATTTGCATGATATCGAAGGTTAATCATGATGTTTTATGATGTCGACGACAAATACGTGGAATAACTGATTTATATCACGGATCCACGACGTCAGCCATAAAGATATCAGCTGTGAAGATATCAATTATAAGGGATTAAGTTGTTACGTAAGCCGTGGAAATATCAGTAAAAAAAAAATGCATGAAAGAACGATTAGGAGCCGTGGGATGTAATTCGGTCAAATTATATAGAAAATTTGTCCTATGTACTCATTGCTTTACTCTAAATAGGTTGCGTTGGCTAAAGGAAATTTTAACTATATTTTCTGTTCAATTGTCACTTTCCTCCGAATTTCGAATTTTATTTACCGACAAAGATCACTCATCATTTGACGATTATTATGATTTACTATATATCAGATATGATAACTCGAATTACGATCCTGTTCTGGAGACGCAGTTCAATTATGGGGTTAGAGTCATTTCAAGTTAGTTTAAAAGGCATATAAGTAAAATTGCCTCCCAGGTATTTTTTTATTAATACTACAAGGCGAGTTTATACTACCGTTTTCTGTATTTTTCGCATTTTTTTTCTCTTTTTTTGCTTCGTCGGGCTGATCCGGGTTAGTCACAATTTGATTGGTCGATCATCTGCCATCAATTTTGAAGATCGTTACACAATTGATAAAAAAATTTTATACGTTTTACAATACTATTTCGAGGAACTCGCGTAATCTATCTTTGCTATGAAAGATGAACAAGTGCACTAAGTAAAATTGAAGCTTTCTTAGCGTATTTTAATAATATCAGTTGAATCCACCAACTTTTATACTACAACGAAAATATATTGGAACCGAAATAATATATAAAATATACTATTACTAGGCTGTTAAAATTTAGTTGTGCAAAAAAAACCATGAATAAACTAAAAATAACGATTCCACGAAGTAAGGTGAGTAGTAAACTTTGATAATCGTTGGTATATAAGCTTTTTTATGTTTATTAAATTCGTTTTATTAGAAATCTTTTACGTTTAAATACAATAGATTAAAAACAATTTACTAACTACATACTACTGTATATCTTTTTTTTTTTATTATCGAGATGTAATTTTTTAGAATATAATAAAGAATCTATATCCAATATGCGCGAGCATGTACATATTAGAATTTTAAAGATTTAATAAAGATGTTTGAGTTTTTGTTATATAAATATATACTGTATATTATATACAGTAGCTTCTAAAAAGAATATATCACCTGAATAAAAAATTTGAAATGTAAATATCTTGTGATGCAAAAGCTATTGCAACTCAAGAAACTATTATTAGAATCATTATATTAAATGTATTATAATATATGAATTTTTTTTATGCAGCAATAAAAAAAAAAATTATTGAATATTTTTTAATATTTTTGTGATGTATTTATTTTGATCATGTTTTTTATTTCTATTTATTACATAGTAAACTTAAAAAAAAATAATTCAAATACAAAATTATTTAAATATGTAGTTGTTTACTATCTAGTATACTCATCTTTTGCTTTAATTACATTATTGATACAAGTTAGCATAGATTCAATAAAATATTTATATACATCTATTTCTAACTTAACTCAGATCTTTTGAGCAACCTCTTACAATTCATCTTCTGATTTCATATACTCAAGCTTTTTCAAACAACAATTTATCTTGTTCTATAAATGCTTAATAGAATTCAAATCTAGAGACTGTGACAGCTAATCAAGCATCCTTATATCATTTTCTTCAAACTACTCCTTCATAAGTCTTGTAGTATGCTTTGAATCATTATCTTATTAAAAGATAATTTTATTTTTATCTAAATAATTCTACTTGATAGTTTCTAAAAGGTCTTTCTTCAAGATTTAACAGTACAAAGCACTATTTATATTACTATAAATATAGCAGATATTGCTAATACTACTTGATATAAAGTACTCTTATACTATAATTTTGCTATCTCTAAATTTTTTTATAAGATAAACCTAGTAGTTTTTTAATAGTTTATTTAGTTTCTTCTAACAATATTTCTTTCTATCAGATCTAAAAAGTATGATCTTTATCTCATCTAACTACATTACTTTATTCTAATCTTTTATCTTCTAAAATCAATACTTTTTAGTAAATATTAAATGTCTTTTCTTAGCTTTTTTTAACAGATATAGTTTCTTATATTTAACTTGAATATGCAACCTATTTCTATATAATATCCTCCTTACTATATTAATACTAACAAAAAGTTATTCTTCAGTTTGTAATATTTTTTGAATATTAATAGCAGTAGTATATTTTCTAATACAATATAATGCAACACAGTTTATTTATAACAGCTAGACAAAAACCTACAATATCTAACTTCTCTTGATTTTTCAAGATATATGTTTCTTCTATATGTTGTTTAATTCTTACAATAGTTGATTAAATGATATTTTTATGAGTAGTTACTTCTTAAGTTGAGTATGTTTCTTAAAAAAGTATAAATACAAACTTATTTTTCTAATAACAACTAGACTATATAGTCTAAATTTTTTTACAAAAGACAAAGAAGTTACAAGGTACAATTTTTATATATAACAAGAAGGTTGTTTTGAAATATGAAAAGACCATGTACTATAGTTCAATATTTGTTTATCACAATAGCTAAAAAAAACATATCATAATTATTTAGACTTTGTTTTATATCATATGAATTTTTTGAAATAAAGAAAAAATTCTTTATATATATAGAAACTTTGAAATATAACAAATCTAAATTATGAATTTCATAATATAGTGATGTTTAGGTTACAAAATATCAGCATTTTAAGTTTTACTTTCAGGTGATACATTCTTTTTGAAAGCCACTGTAGATTTTCTATAACGATGATAATTAAATATTAGATATATAATAGATAAATTGAATAGATAAGAGTATGCTTGCTTTATGATAAAATCGAATTAAGCTTTAAAATGAAAATCTTATTTTATTAAAATCGGAGATTCACGGAAGTGATCTACAATTGGTGTAACCTGAACGGTCGCTCCTGTTAAGTATATCCGGTACCACCCGATATAGACCTTATTGTCCCTGAATCTTCCGAAAACATTACATAAGGACTACGAGTTATTTCGGAAAAATTTTTATATAGTACGGAACATTTCGGAAAAATTTTATGGAAATTTTTACTATATACATATGAGCCAATTTTTATAATTAGTAATAACTTTTGAATAATTTTATTACCAAAATGTTCCTCTCAATGAGATAATTCTAACAAGCTTAAAATTAATAAAATCTAATTACAGGATCTGATTTTATTAATTTTAGGCTTGTTAGAATCATCTCATTGAGAGGAACATTTTGGTAATAAATTATTCAAAATAGGCTAATATATCAAAAGTTATTACTAATTACAAAAATTGGCCCATATGAAACTCCTTGTAAAACCTCCCCTCTTTTAAAGTGGAGATGTAATGAAATCACCGAATTAAATTGGGGTGACCTTAATAATTCTTTAATCTCAAAGATAATAAAACGAGTTTCGCCAGTTTTTCTAAGGCATACATATCAGATATTAAATATTTTTATTAATTATTTCGTTTAATGTACATGAATTGCAAATATTGTTATAATGATAGTAAAAATAACCATTTCACAAGAAAAAAAAAAGTGATATCAGATACAGATGTGATTATTTATGTAAATGAGCATAATAAAATGGTGAAATTATCTATTTAATTATATATTGTTTAAATATATATAATAATTTTTTTTAAAAAAAATTTTAATTCCACCAAGCTTAATTCGCTATGCTACAATAGCCACCAATACGCTTATATCATCTCTCTTCCCACCTTGATAATATAATCCTTCATGCATAGCACGACTTTGAAAAGGGCTTATATTATTAATATCTTCACTAGCAGCTTTAGCACGCCACGCAAGTGAATCACTAATTACTTGAGGATCTACCTTTAAGCTACTTCGTTGAGACATAGCAATTTCTTCAAGTATATCCTCTTCAAATAAATTGTCAAAGATACCATCAGATCCTAAAATAATTATATCTCCTTTTTGAATTTTAATTTTAAATTCTTGAGAATCTTTGGGTTTATCATAAGAAAAAATTCCTAATTGAAAGGGATAATTAAAGCTATGTTGTTGTTCTTCATTTCTAAATATGATACTATTATGTCGAATAATACATATTCCACAATCTCCAATATTTGTTATTCGAAGTTCATCATCTCGTAAAACTGCTATTAATGCGGTTGAAGAACCAACGATCCCCTAATATCAGAAATGAATGCTGCCAAGTGAAGACATGTAAATTTTCAATTTTCTTATATTTCACATCACAAAATAAAGTTCACTAACCTCTGAAAAATTTGACATATAACATTATATTTTATTTAAAATATGATATATAATAATGGGGATCAAAATTTTCAGAGTTGGTAAAAGCTTTAATCCGTGAAATTAAATATCAGAAAATTGAGAATTTACATGTTTTTCTCTAGGCAGTACTCAAATAACAAATTTAATAACGAAAATAATATAATGAATTACAATTATTCGAGACAAATGCTGAAATCTATATAAAATAGATAATTTTTGGACAAAGGAATTATATGTTTTGAATACATATCAAAAATTTCAGCATCAGCCGCGACAAAATATTATAAATTTATCTACCTCTAATGTACAATCACGTATGGTTTGTTCATAGCTTGCTTGCATAATCTCAGTTGGATTAATATCTTTAATATCGGTATATTTTTCAAGCTCTGTATATGCATAATGCATCAACTTTCGAGAATACAATGCTGAATTTGCTATTAAAGAATCAACATTGCGCCAACTGCCAACACCATCAGCAACGCCTAAAGAATCGTGTCGTCTGAAAAAACTATCTTCACCACAACTAATACTAAAATATTTGTCATCATTAATTGTAGATATAAATTTGTCGGTATGTTTTTCTACACCAGAAGCACCATGTATTAGTGCTAAAGAATTTCGTGGAGTTGAAAAAGGTTTATCCAAAAAGTCTAAGACAGAATGTGAGGATGGAATATGTTCAATTGTAGAAACTTCCTGGCATTTATTAATCTTAGAACATTGAGGCTTTGACGTCTTATTTGATGAACGATAAATTGTATATGGAAAGGGAAATAGAGGTGATTTAGTTAAACGAGCATCAATGTGAAAAGTTGATGTGGAAAGAAAAGGACTTGAAGTTCGGAGTTGGCGTTTTGCGAATGAACTTATTTCTCTTGGTCCAAAGAATGGATAAAAATTTTTTTGAAGTAATGTAGAAAATTTCATTGATTTATTAAATTTATTAATCTTCATATATTGTAAAATATCCAAAAAGAATTGTTATCTTACAACAATAAATAAACACGAAAGAATGAAACTACAGTATTTATATATTCTTATCTTTTAATCAGATGGAAAATCCTTTTGATTGGCTAATGTGATACAATTGAAACATCAATCGTTACACATTTATTTATATTAGTTTTAAAGTACACTCCATACTAAACGTAATCGCTCATATCAGATATGACAAATTGTTGGGGTGTCTTACAGAACAGTGATGATCATTACCGGTAATTAATTTTTTATTAACGTTAATTAGCCTTTTTTATCTATGCATTTAACAAATATCACACAACGTGACATTTTACTATTATTGTCACCCTGTATGATGTCTATTCATAACGATAAATAATGCGAATCCTAAAATTCGAATTGCGAACTATTAAATATAAATTTATTATAAATGTATCTATGGTGGTTGGTGACAGTGTTGTGCGTCTTGACATGTTTAAAGCTTTTTTAGACATGTTTGATATCCAAATATCCAAGTATTCCTAGGTGCATATCCTCGGGACCATTGTGAAAAAATTACAAAAATTGTATTTAAAGAAGGTTTGCATATATGAGATGAAAATTTATAAGGTTTTTATAAGTTAAAACTAACTATATTTGTATTTTGAGAAGTTTATATAGTATTTTTATTTAAAAAGTGCACTTAGAAGATATAATTATTATTATAATATATTTTAAATATTTTTGTTTAGAAGATTTAAATAGATTATTTCAATAAAATTTTAACAAAATTTACTTTAGTTTTTTTATTATTTTTTATTTTAAAACAAAGTAAAAAAACTTATATTTCTATGCTTTTTAATAACTGAATTATATTTATAATAAAATTATCAAAAATATAGTTATCATTTTTTTTTTTTTTACTTTATACAAATGCTATCAGCTAAACTTTATTAATTTCATAAATTTCAGAAGTGATACATATTGTGAGAGTACAACTAGTCACACATATAATTTTAGATTGTCTATTTTAAGTAGTCCACCTGAAGGTTCTACACTAGCTACTATATCTAAAATCTCTTAGAAGATTCTCTATTTAAACTCTCTAGTTCTATCTTACTTACTGCAAATATTACTTTTATAGTTAACTATAATTCTATACTACTCTACTTTGGGAGGCATCTAAGCTGACATTAGTTACAAACTTTACTATTATGAGCCTTAGATCTTATTCAAATAAGTCTCAACTTCAATACTTTCTAACAGATAGGTGTTATGATACCTAACTATACTATACTATATCTCAATCTAGCTTGTATATACCTTTATTTGATGTTCATACAAACCTGGTTCTAGCTATGGCCCTCACCAGTTTAGACTTCTGTGTTCTTCTGAATATTTCATAAAATAGATTCTCCCAATTTAGTTAGCTATTAAGCCAATTTGGTATTGCTATAACATCTAATATCATAGACTTATTCATACCTACTCAATCTACATCTTCATATTCAAAAATCTTTGTTAAATCAAGTATTAACTAGTATGACTGTTAAAATCTATACTACTTCACCTAACTCAGGATTTCTACTATACAGGTTCTTTGTCTATAGATCCTATCTTGATTTATTTATATAATACAACTCCAATATTCTGTTATACTTCCAATATCTGAACAATATTAGTACAATGTGATTTATAGGGTTACAACCTCCAGAAATAAACAGAGTTTACTGTAAGTTGAATACAGATATCTAGGTAATTATTCAATTCTGTTGATAGTAGGATTTGAACTCTAGATCTCTTGTATGATAGTCTGATAACCTATCTACTATACTAGATCACTAGACTTTTAATTATCATTTTTTAAATATAATATTTTTAAAATATTTAATTAACAGTATATTTAATTATTTTAGAAATATTTATAAAAGTTTTATATACTTTGAATTTATATTAGTTTCTAGTTTTTAATATTATATACTTCTATTTTAATTATTTAGTTTTTTTTTATTATTATTAAGATAGCTTATATTTTTTTTATATCTTGAGTGATCTTGCTTGTTATTTTATTAAGAAAAAGCTTATAATAAGTTACAAAACAATCTAATATAAAAAACTATACTAATTTGTTCTTTCTAAACTATTCTAGACTAACTTAGCTACCTCAAAAATATCTAAGTTTGATCTGTTGCAGAAGCTATTTTCTTATAAAAATCTTAGTCTGTATATATAAATATTTAGAATTCAGTCAGCAAAAATGATTCCTAGCCATATATCAAGATCTTAGATCCTTTTCTACCTAGTTAAAACTAAGTAAAAAAAAGTTAGTATCTAGTTTTAAGATATAAAAAAGATAAAAAATTATATAAACCTAAGTAGTTATAGTCTATAACGAAGTTTATACTAGAAAAACTTGCTACAGATAAAGAAAACTAATATAGAACAAAAAAAAGAAAAAGAAAAAAGATAACTAAGTACTCTATAACCTGAGTTAGGCTTAAAATTTTAAGTTATATAACTTATAACCTATCTTAAGTAATTCTCTTTCTAATATAAAGTCTATCTTAAAAATTTAAAATCTATAATATCAAAGTTATTTTTTTTTTTTTTTTTTCAGCAATCATGCTAATACTTTATTTAATCAACAATTTTAATCTATGACTAAAACATTTC